GATGAAAATGAAGCGGTGCAGTTCGGCTGAGTGAGCGCAACGCGCAATACGCAACCAGCGTGGTGAGGAAAGCGATGTGGTGCCAGAGGAGAATCAGTGGTGCAGTTCGGCTGAGTGAGTGCAACGCGCCAAAACAGTTCTTGCTAGTTATATCAGCGTATAAATTTTTAACACCAACACAACTCAACCTCACACTTCACACAGCAGCAACCGTGCATAATCCACAAGACAAGAATCTTAATCGATAAGAACAGACATGGTTTTTGCCGATGTTGTTTTCGCATCATATTTACAACCCTTCCGATTTTCAGGAAAGAAATATTGGTGTTCTAATATGCAAGACTCCCTCTGCACTAACATGCCGCCAGAGGAGCCGGTTTCTCTCCCTCCGGGTGTACCGGCTGGCGACGGTGAAGGCTCTTGAGTGGAGGGGAGTAAGGGTTTTCCGGCAGCTGGACCTGCGTGCGTGGCACGGCGTGCGTTGCTTCCATGCCGTGGGATAGGGCCCTGTGACTCTGTGGGTTCTTCGCTCGCTTGTGCTCTGGCCGGGTGGCTTGGAGGGACTGTTTGTCGATAGCATTGCGAGAGATGTTGTGGAGCTTTTGAAGAGGGGAGAGGGGGAGGGAGCTTGGAAAAGAGGGGGCTATGGGGGAGAAAGCTTGGAAAAGAGGCATGCAGGGAAGGGCTTGTTGAGAAGCCGAGATGAGACAGGCGTGTGTCAAATGTTGTAGCTGAGGCATTCCGACTCCTCGCACTTACGCTGAGGCAGTGTCAGGGCCTTGGGCCTCTCAGTGGAGAGCTGCCATGGACGCAGAGATGGCCTCCTACAGATCCACAGGCACCTACGTCGATGAGGTTCCCCCTCCGGGGGCGAACGTAGTCGACGGCATGTGGATCTACAGGGTGAAGCGGCCGCCAGGAACTCTAGCTCAAACTGCCTGTCCTCTAGGGCGTCACAGCCAAGGGCAGACACACCCCCGACGGCCAGAGGACTGGAAGGAGGAGCAGCCACAAGAGCGGTGGCGAAGTCAAGGCGGCGGGTAGAGGCAAAGTCAGTGACTGCGGCAGTAAGAGCGGACACAGAGGACACAGAGGCACGAGGGTGAGTAACAAGCGAGGCGAGAACACGAGAGAGAAGAGGACGGTACGTGCTGGTGCGGAGTCTGGGGGTGCTGCGTCTGGGGGTGAGGGTGTTCCTTCGGTTTCTGGAGAGCCTGGGTCTGGAGCTGGTGTTGGTGCTGCCTCTGGGGGTGGTGTGCTTGGTGCTTCGGAGGTCGACTCTGGGGCTGCCGCTGCCCCGGACACTACTCCTTCCCCCCACCCCTACCCGACCAGGTTCCAGGCTCGTGTTCGCCGTGCTCGTGAGGAGCAGCTGGAGTTGGAGAGAGAGGAGAGAGAGTTGCAGCGGCTCGAGGAGCAGGAGCGACAGCAGCAGGGGCAGCAGCCGCTGGAGCAGCAGCAGCCGCAGCAGCCGCCTCCTCCTCCTGTCTCGGGTCTTCGGACCCTTGGTCTCCCCTCTCCCTCTCCTTCCTCCTCCCCCTCTCCTCCCGTCTCTGGTCCTTCGCTTCCTCCTCCTGACCCCTCTCCCGCTGTTTTCCCTCGTTCTCAGTCTTCGTTGTCCCCTCCTTCTTCTCAGACTTGGGCCTCTCGTCGCTCCCCTCGTGCTCGTCCCTCGTCTCCTGTTCCCTTCACTGACCTTCGTACTGCCTTACTTCGTTCTAGTCCACCTCGTCCGTCTCCGTCTGTGCTTCCGTCTCCTCCTGAGTCGGCTCTCACTGCGTCGCTCCCTACTCCTGTCACAGACTACTACCGCACGTACCGTCCTCTTCTCTCTCGTGTTCTCGCCTCGCTTGTTACTCACCCTCGTGCCTCTGTGTCCTCTGTGTCCGCTCTTACTGCCGCAGTCACTGACTTTGCCTCTACCCGCCGCCTTGACTTCGCCACCGCTCTTGTGGCTGCTCCTCCTTCCAGTCCTCTGGCCGTCGGGGGTGTGTCTGCCCTTGGCTGTGACGCCCTAGAGGACAGGCAGTTTGAGCTAGAGTTCCTGGCCGCCGCTTCCCCTCATCTCTGTGCCATGCTCCTCGCCCCTGAGGGTGACCCCGACGCCCTTGACATTCCGACTCCTCGCACTTACGCTGAGGCAGTGTCAGGGCCTTGGGCCTCTCAGTGGAGAGCTGCCATGGACGCAGAGATGGCCTCCTACAGATCCACAGGCACCTACGTCGATGAGGTTCCCCCTCCGGGGGCGAACGTAGTCGACGGCATGTGGATCTACAGGGTGAAGCGGCCACCGGGATCTCCTCCGGTCTTCAAGGCACGCTACGTGGCTAGAGGTTTCAGTCAGCGCGAGGGAGTTGACTTCTTTCAGACCTTCGCGCCCACCCCGAAGATGACCACTCTTCGGGTGTTACTACACGTAGCAGCACAGAGAGACTACGAGTTACACTCTCTTGACTTCTCTACTGCTTTCCTTCAGGGCAGTCTTCACGAGGAGGTCTGGTTGCGTCGTCCCTCTGCCTTCACTGGCTCTTTCCCTCCTGGGACCCAGTGGAGGCTGAGGCGACCGGTTTACGGTCTTCGTCAGGCTCCTCGTGAGTGGCACGACACCCTGCGTTCTACCCTGTCTGACCTTGGGTTCCAGCCGTCTTCTGCTGACCCGTCGCTGTTCGTTCGTCGTGGCCCCACACCTTTCTTTGTTCTGGTCTACGTTGACGACCTTGTTTTCGCCACCCCTGACAGGGTTGCTTTGGCACACGTGAAGTCCGAACTGCAGAAGAGACACACCTGCACTGATCTTGGTGAGCTGCGCCACTACCTTGGCCTGCAGATCACCAGGGACAGAGCTGCTCGCACCATTACACTTTCACAGTCGCACATGGTGCAGCAGGTCCTTCAGCGGTTCGGGCTTCAGCACTCCACAGTACAGCGCACACCTCTTGCTGTTGACCACAGACTCACTGGACCCTTTCCTGACGAGCCGTTCGAGCCTAGTGGTCCCTACGCAGAGCTTGTGGGTTGCCTCATGTACCTGATGACTTGTACTCGCCCGGACCTCGCCTTCCCTCTCAGCGTTCTTGCGCGCTTTGTTGCGCCAGGGAGACACTGTCCTGTTCACTGGACAGCAGCTGTGAGGGTGGCGAAGTACCTAGCGACGACGTCAGGCGTGGGGCTAGTTCTTGGAGGGCAGCAGTCTGTCGTACTTACTGGTCACTGTGACTCCTCTTACGCTGACGACGCTGAGACTCACAGGTCTACTCAGGGGTACTGTTTCAGCCTGGGTTCTGGAGCTGTTTCCTGGCGGTCCACGCGCTCCTCTTCGGTCTCGACCTCTACAGCTGAGGCTGAGATCTACGCTGGTGCCATGGCGGCACAGGAGCTGCGTTGGTTGACCTTCTTGCTCACCGACCTTGGTGAGCGGCCGAGCTCTGCACCGACCTTGTTCACTGACAACAAGGCGTCTATTCTCCTTTGTCGAGAGCCACGACTGGAGAGCAGAGTGAAGCACATTCACGTCAGGTACTTTCTTCTGCGAGAGTTGCAGAGGCGTGGACAGGCTCGCTTTGAGTTTGTGGAGTCCGAGGCCAACACTGCAGACATCTTCACCAAGGCGCTTCCGCCTTGTGACCACCAGAGGTGCTGTGTGCAGTTAGGCCTTGTTGACACTGGTTCTCGTGTTGCTTAGGCTTGAGTGTACTGTTTACTTTGCTTTCTATATACCTCTGTTACTTCTTGGACTGGCCTTGTGGCCACTGTTGTTTGTGCTCAGACTGTGTGGTGACGTTGTGATCCACCCTGAGCTTCGTTTCTTGGACTGGTCTTGTGACCGTACTCGTTTGGTTCTGCTAGACACCCCTCACTTAGGCTATGGGGGTGTGTCAAATGTTGTAGCCTATAGTGAGGTTTGTCTTAGGGGGTACAAAACTTAGGGTTAGCTATATGTACCCCAACCAACATCAATGCATCATCCATTCCTCATTCTGACAGCGTGGAATCAAAAGGTTCTTTAGAGTCTGCTGTGGAAGGTACTACTGGTAGGCCCGAGGAGGATAGGAGCAGGGAAATGGTTCAGGGCAAAGGAAAGAATCTTTTGTCTCTGCTGCTGCCTAAATGCAAGGGCTTGCAGCGGTTTGAGGGGTGGGACAATGGTGAAGGTGTGATGTATAGGCTGGATGCTGCTGAGGGGCTGAAAATGGAGAAGGGTGGAAGCTCGGAAGATTGTTACACGAACAAAAAAATGTTCTTAAAATTGAGAGGGATCGTGGATTAGGTGTACTGAATTACTGCATGTAAGTAGAGTTTTACTGTATGTGGATGAAAGATCGTGATCGCCACGATCGTGGATTAGGTGTGTGTGCAGATGTGCTTGCTCTGCTCTGGCTAACCAGGCGACGTGGGGGTGAAACCTGACCCGACCCAGATGACATGGCATGGCATTGAGCATCACATCATCACATTGAGTGTGCGTTTGTATTGATAGTGGCTGGCTGGCCATTGATGACAGCGAAACATGATACCGGTTGCGACAGTCAATGATCGACTCGAAGAATATGACGTTGAAACTTGAACACTGAGGGCTTATCCCTGGGTGGTGGCAGGGCCACTGTAAATAGCAGCCTGCCACGAACACATTAAACATCAGGGTTGGTGTCAGGAAACTGGCGCGCAAATACAGGTGCGTGAATCGTTATTGGGCAATGCCCCCAAAATGACACCAAGTTAGTGTCGCGTGCGCCTCGGGCAAAATGTTGGTGGCATGTGGTGTTTTCGCATGCCACCAACAGTGCCTGCTACAGTGGCCCTACCACCACCACCCAGGGATACGCCCTGAGGCAGTGAAATCACAGAATCGAAAGGACAGATTAAGGATTCTAAAAAAACAGAGTCAGCTCGAACACTGACAGGAGGCGAATCACAGAATCATCACGACAGGTCCAGGTGTGCCGTCCGCTCCGCTTGCTTCGGCTCGGCTCGAGATGACCACATAGGAAGGCTTAAGTGACCTAAAGGTAATGGCGTCGAGCACAGGGGTGAGAAAAGGAGCAGGTGGCAAGGTGAACCATTGAACGGCCTTGAATAAGCTTGCTGACGTGCTCCCTTTGGGAGAGCAGCAGGCGATGATGGGTGAGCAGGCGATGATGGGTGAGCAGGCGATGTTGGGTGAGCAGGCGATGATGGGTGAGCAGGCGATGATGGGTGAGCAGGCGATGATGGGTGAGCAGGCGATGATGGGTGAGCAGGCGATGATGGGTGAGCAGGCGATGATGGGTGAGAAGGCGATGATGGGTGAGCAGGCGATGATGGGTGAGCAGGCGATGATGGGTGAGCAGGCGATGATGGGTGAGCAGGCGATGATGGGTCAGCAGCAGGTCTGGGAGGGTATGGATAAAGACAGGAGGGGAGGGGATAGGGGGAGAGAGACGTGGAGGGAAGAGGTGAAAAAGAAGATTGGGTGTATGGCTGGCTGGCTTTGCGCACTTTTGAGAATTCTCAAGAGTGCCGGTTGAAATGAGTCGACTCAAAAGTCAGAGGGCGAGGTGAAAAGGAAGAGTGTGAGTTTGGCCGGCTGGCTGGCTGGCTGGCTGGCTGGCTGGCTGGCTGGCTGGCTGGCTGGCTGTGCGCAGCGCATGGAGTGCTGGTTGGAATGAGTTTAAAGACAGGAGGGGACGGAGATGTGGTGGAAGGAAGAGGGAGGTGGAAATGGAGAGGTGAAAGAAGTGGGAGAGAGCATGGCTGGCTGTACGCAGCGCATGGAGTGCTGGTTGGAATGGAATGAGTTGCATGCAGGCTAAGCATGCGGAATTGATGCCTCGCAAGGGATTTGAGTGCGCTTGAATGCTTTTGAGTCGACTCAAAAGCAGAGGCTGAGAGCATGCTTGGCTGTGTGCAGCGCACTGAGTGCTGGTTGAGTTGCATGCTGGTCAAGCATGCGGAATCGACGCCTCACAAGGGATTTGAGTGACTTTAATTGATTCACCATAAGGTTCAATGATTACCAAAGGGAATGCCTTTTGAGTCAGCAACATCAAGGCAACACACGTGCACTGCGCATCACATCACTCCCCACCCGCACCAATCCCGAACCTGACAAACAAGGGATTGAGTGCGTTTGAATGGTTCACAAGAAGGTTCAATGATTACCCAAGGGAATGCCTTTTGAGTCAGCAACACCAAGGCAACACGTGCACTGCACAGCACATCATTCCCCACCCACACCAATCCCGAACCTGACACACAAGGTTTCATGCCCTAGATATGCCAAGACCTTGCCTGGATCCAGTGACCATCTGCTTTCTCGTGAGACAGAATGCAGCACCAGTGAGACACTTCAAAAAGTTACTGAACCTACACTGAACCTGACGCACAAGGCTAGATATGCCAAGACTTTACGTGGATCTAGGGATATCAGCATTCTATGCAGACTGCAGCATGAGTGAGGCACACACAAAAAGCCTCTCAAGAAGATCAGAGTGTGTACTCTCAAAAACTCCATGCAGCATGCATCCAGCACAACGCACTAGTACCCAAACGCGCTAGACATTTTCAAACACCTTTTTTCTCAAGAATCTTAGGGTGTGTTTGGGTACTCTCGAGATTTTCATGCAGCATGCATGCAGCACAGCGTTGACACCCGTCTCAGAGACGTCTGGTATCGAGGGGACTCCGAAGCTCATCATAATCATCACACTTTCAACCTTGAGTCATGCCAAAATCGACTCTTCATGCAGCATGCAGTACAACACTACCACCCATCTCAGAGATGTCTGCATCGAGGGGACTCAGAAGCTCATACTCATCGTCGTTACCTCTCGACTTTAAGACATCTCATAATCCACTTTCTATGCAGCAAGGAGCAATGGCAGAACACCCATTGCAGAGACGTCTGTATCGAAGGGACTCAGAAGCTCATAATCATAATCATTGCCCTTCGACTTTAAGACGTCTCAACGTCCCTTTTTAGCACCCATTTTTCTCTCCAAGCAAAGTTGGATTCCAAGCCTTTCCGAGCTTCCCTCTCCGCCCTCCTCCCTTCCACAACTGAAAGCTCCGATTGGCTTGGGATCCAACTGTGCTCGGAGAGAAAAATGGGTGCGCTCAGGGTGATGGGTGCATGGCTTCTAGAGCCGATGATGGATGATGGATGATGGGTGATGGGTGCATGGCTTCTTGAGCGTGATGGGGGGCGATGGGTGCATGGCTACTTGAGCGTGATGGGGGGCGATGGGTGCATGGCTACTTGAGCCCACCCATTTTTTTCAGAATGATGGGTGCATGGCTACAGGGACCAACTTCACATAAGAACAAACAGATGTGGGTGCACTGTGCTGCTTCATCCACTCACGCGCCTCAGTTTTTTTCGCTGAGGCGCCTCAGCTTAGGAGCAAATGTGGGTGCGTGAAAAGTTGCTGTTTCAAGTGGACCCTTTTGAGTCGACTCAAAAGTCACTTGCCTTGGGTTCGTGAAGAGTTGTGTTTCAGTTGGACCGTCAACTCTTAGGAACGACAGGTATGCTCTTGCCAATGTCAGGGACGGTAACATTGTCATATTGGTGATTCTTTTGAGAGTGCTCAAAAGAAACGCCAAATGTGGGTGCGTGAAGAGATCTGTTTCAGAACGACAGGCATGCTCTTCAAATGTCTGTCAGGAACGGTAGAAGTGCCACCTGAAAGAGTTGAGGGTCCACCTGAAAGAGTTGAGGGTCCACCTGAAAGAGTTGAGGGTCCACCTGAAAGAGTTGAGGGTCCACCTGAAAGAGTTGAGGGTCCACCTGAAAGAGTTGAGGGTCCACCTGAAAGAGTTGAGGGTCCACCTTAAAGAGTTGAGGGTCCACCTGAAAGAGTTGAGGGTCCACCTGAAAGAGTTGAGGGTCCACCTGAAGCCACGAAGATCCCACCTGAAGCCACAGAAAACCACCTGAAGCCATAGACAACCCTCCTGAAGCCACAGGAAACCACCTGAGGCCATACACAACCACAGGTAACCCAAACAAAGCCACTCTCTCCAACCACTGAAACCAGAGACAGTAGAGCCAGAAGCCACAGGGTGGATTTTGCGAATTCTCACTCAAACCCGCTTCAGAGAATTCTTGAAAGCTCCCCAGCTGATACTAGAGATAGAGGAACCTGAAGCCACTGGGTGACAGAATAGCAGCAGCGATGAGCCACCAAACACACCCAAACCCAATACCATCTGAACCCATTACCACCACTCCACCTACTCCAACTCATCCTCTTCCTCCTCTTCCTCCTCTTCCTCCTCTTCCTCCTCTTCCTCCTCTTCCTCCTCTTCCTCCTCTTCCTCCTCTTCCTCCTCTTCCTCCTCTTCCTCCTCTTCCTCCTCTTCCTCCTACCCTCTCTACCCCCCACTCAGTACCCACCCCTCTCTCACCCTTGTCTCGCCCTTCATTCACCCCTGCGCTTTGCCGCTTCGCGCCTCCAACCCACTCGCAAGGTCCGCTTTTCCCCCAGTGGTTCTCGCTGCACCGTCCGCTGCACCGTCCGCTGCACCGTCCGCCAAGCCATCCGCTGCGCCGACTTCTATCCGTCCTCTCTCACCCTTGTTTTGCCCCGCGTTCACCCCTGCGCTTCGCCGCTTCGCGCTTCTCACTCGCAAGGTCCGCTTTTCCCCCAGTGGTTCTCGCTGCGCCATCCGCTGCGCCATCCACTGAGCATCCGCTGCGCCATCCGCTGTGCCTTCCGCTGCGCCACCTTCTATCCGTCCGTTGCCCAGCCCCCTGCGCTTAGCGTGTCGCTCCTAGCGTGCCGCAGCTGCTATAGCGCTGCTTGACGCGGCCTCATCCCCGCAATAAGATGCCCGTAATGCTGCGATCCTGCGTCGATGCCACAGCGGCATCAGCGGCAGCTCTATCCTGCGCCATTCCGCGGTTCTACCGCCGCTCTACCCTGCGTCGTTACCCCCGCTCAACCGCCGCTCTACCCTGACCTTCGAGGCGCCTGTAAAGTCGCCGTCCGCGGCTCTAGCACCGCTCAATCCCGCCGCAGCAGCAGCGGCAGCGGCGGCGGAAGCAGCGGGGGGCTGCTGATTCGTTGGCAGCGGTGACCTGTGCATTGCTCCATGACCCCCTTTCGACGTTTGAGTCGACTCAAAAAGTCACCTTGCTCCATGACGAATCCCTTTCGACACCACTTCGTGCCTGGTAAGCTTTCCTACAGATAGCGAGCCGCTTGAGTATGGTATCGCGTTCATGGCCACGAGGCTCGATGCACGAGGCGCGAGGCGATTGAGAATAGAAAAATAGTGCCCTGTGCATTGCTCCATATTGACTCCCTTTCGACACCATCGCCTGCAGCGCTTTCGTGCAGATAGCAGCGAGGCCCTTGAGAATGGTAACGCGTTTATGGCCACGGGGCGCGGCGCGAGGCGCGCGGCACGAGGCGCTGGAGAGTAATGTCCTGTGGATTGCTCCATATTGACTCCCTCTCGACACCATCGCCTGCAGCGCGTCCGTACACATAGAGTTTATGATATAACGAGATATTCCCGAGACAGACGCCACGCGACGCGGGTACCCCAGATGGTGACGGCACGGCAGTCAATAACGCGGTCAATAACGTCGACTGACACTTGGCACGACTAGTTACTAGTGCGATAACACATTTACTGCTAGGGAGCTTATTTAGGGCGCGTCCCCTCCCTCGATCGATTGTGCAAAATCGACGACGATCGACCACCGCACTAAAATCCTGCTTTGTTTTGTTTCCAACATTTTCAAACCTTTTCAACCGAGCGCAGGTTCGATCCTGTGCACGATCGATCGAGGGAAGGGATTTGCAGAAAATGCTCACTTTCAGACAAACTCGACAGAATGTTTTCTACTTTGAATGAAATAACACATAGAAACGTTTCTGTAAAATCAGATTATTAACAAAAAGGGGTCCTGAAAAAACCAGATTGATAAAAAAAGAAGTCTGGGAAACTCGGACAAGCAGTAATATCAACCCTGGAAAACTCCCAATATCTCGAAATTTCGCAAGCTTTCTATTACAGCCAGATTTGCGTATGTGTTCCACCACACCCACCACCATAGCTTGACCATTTGGAGCAAAAACAGGAAAATGGGGATGCTCATGCTGCCCTGGAAACCGCCAAGAAGCAAGCACTAGGCACTCAAGAAACCGAAGTAAATAACCCCTGCTCGTGTACCCCAACCCCAAGAGTGACTTTATTTGGCACACTAAAGAGAACCACCACACTACATTACCAATGCATCGTCCATCTCTATATCTACAAACCCCGCATGTATGAGCGCATCAAGCAGCTCATGCGCCACGATGGGCTTGCGCACGGCTCCATCCATCCCCGCCTCAAAGCACGCTCGCTTCACCCCAGCATCCAGATCTGCGGTCAGCGCTATGATGCACAGCCGCTGAAGACATGCCCTTCTTGAACCTGCTGCTTCTTCTATCTCTGCCTCATCCGCTGCTGCAGCTGACTCTAGAGAAGTTTGAAATGTGAACTCGTGGTCTGAACCGTCGCCTGGTGTCGTCGACTCTTGAGGCGTTTGGAAACTGAACTCGCTCGCTGCCTCGTCATCGCCTCTTGCTTCATTCTCCCTGGCTGCTTTGCTTGCTTCGTCTGCCTCGCCATCGCCTCTTGCTTCTCGTCGTCGGCTGGTGTCGTCGGCTCTGGCTGCTTTGCTTGCTTCGTCTGCGTCATCGGCTGCTGTTTCTTCTGCGTCATCGGCTGCTGTTTCTTCTGCTTCATCGGCTGCTGTTGCTTCTGCTTCGTCGGCTGCTGTTTCTTCTGCTTCGTCGGCTGCTGTTGCTTCCGCCACACTCGGAAGCTGCTGCTCTGCTGCTGCCAACTGCTCGCTCTCCATGCGCCGAATTCTCCGTGCCGTTTCAAATCTGCAGCAGCATGGGGAGCAGTAGACACAAGGATAACGAAGGTGGGGGTTGTGTAAAGAAAGGTTCAGAATAATGTCAGAAGAGTTGCACTCAAATGGGTAACATTGTGCTTCCATTACACTCAAACCAATGGAACAGCACCATGCACTGAATTTGACCCGCTGTTTTACCCCCGCGGCCCCGCCTCTTGAGAATTGTCAAATAGGGGGGGCAGTTGATTGGTACAGTGGAGCGGCAGGTGATGGTACAAAGGGGGCAGTTGATTGGGACAAGGGGTAGTTGTATGCGACATTGTTGGAACCATGCCAAAAAATGGCAAAGAATGCCAAGAATGGCAAAGAATGCCGAGAACGGCAAAGAATGCCGAGAATGGCAAAGAATGCCGAGAATGGCAAAGAATGCCGAGAATGGCAAAGAATGCCGAGAATGGCAAAGAATGCCGAGAATGGCAAAGAATGCCGAGAATGGCAAAGAATGCCGAGAATGGCAAAGAATGCCGAGAATGGCAAAGAATGCCGAGAATGGCAAAGAATGCCGAGAATGGCAAAGAATGCCGAGAATGGCAAAGAATGCCGAGAATGGCAAAGAATGCCGAGAATGGCAAAGAATGCCGAGAATGGCAAAGAATGCCGAGAATGGCAAAGAATGCCGAGAATGGCAAAGAATGCCGAGAATGGCAAAGAATGCCGAGAATGGCAAAGAATGCCGAGAATGGCAAAGAATGCCGAGAATGGCAAAGAATGCCGAGAATGGCAAAGAATGCCGAGAATGGCAAAGAATGCCGAGAATGGCAAAGAATGCCGAGAATGGCAAAGAATGCCGAGAATGACAGAGAATGCCGAGAATGACAGAGAATGCCGAGAATGACAGAGAATGCCGAGAATGGCAGAGAATGCCGAGAATGGCAGAGAATGCCGAGAATGGCAAAGAATGCCGAGAATGGCAAAGAATGCCGAGAATGGCAAAGAATGCCGAGAATGGCAAAGAATGCCGAGAATGGCAAAGAATGCCGAGAATGGCAAAGAATGCCGAGAATGGCAAAGAATGCCGAGAATGGCAAAGAATGCCGAGAATGGCAAAGAATGCCGAGAATGGCAAAGAATGCCGAGAATGACAGAGAATGCCGAGAATGACAAAGAATGCCGAGAATGGCAAAGAATGCCGAGAATGGCAAAGAATGCCGAGAATGGCAAAGAATGCCGAGAATGACAGAGAATGCCGAGAATGGCAATCCAATCAAACCAATGGAGACTGATAACACAGGTCACCACATTGCTGTCATTAAGTTACGACATGAGGGGCAGAAGCAGGGAGAAAAGCTAAAGCAGGGAGAGAGGCAGAAGCAGGGAGGGCATGTGGGGGTGGGCAGGGAGGCACAAACTACCAGACGGTGTGTGAAGTGAGAATCACAAACGGGTTAAAACTCAATACTGAGATGACTAAAAGCAGGGAAGCACCCAAAGCAGGGAAGCACTCACCCATCAATGCCAGGAGGCATGTGGAGGTCTAGCAGGAGCAATTGGATGGGCGAGGAGGGAGAGGAGGGCGACGGGTCCATGTGGGAGGAGACAGCTTGCAGGGTGTCCTCTCCTGAAGAAAGCAGCAGCACGTGAGAAGACTAAAAGCAGGGAAGCACTCACCCGTCAATGCCAGGAGGCATGTGGAGGTCAAGCAGGAGAAGCTGCAGGGGCGAGGAGCATTTTGAGGCGCCTCAAAAGGCATGTGGAGGTCAAGCAGGAGAAGCTGCAGGGGCGAGGAGCATTTTGAGGCGCCTCAAAAGGCATGTGGAGGTCAAGCAGGAGAAGCTGCAGGGGCGAGGAGCATTTTGAGGCGCCTCAAAAGGCATGTGGAGGTCAAGCAGGAGAAGCTGCAGGGGCGAGGAGCATTTTGAGGCGCCTCAAAAGGCATGTGGAGGTCAAGCAGGAGAAGCTGCAGGGGCGAGGAGCATTTTGAGGCGCCTCAAAAGGCATGTGGAGGTCAAGCAGGAGAAGCTGCAGGGGCGAGGAGCATTTTGAGGCGCCTCAAAAGGCATGTGGAGGTCAAGCAGGAGAAGCTGCAGGGGCGAGGAGCAATTTGAGGCGCCTCAAAAGGCATGTGGAGGTCAAGCAGGAGAAGCTGCAGGGGCGAGGAGCATTTTGAGGCGCCTCAAAAGGCATGTGGAGATCAAGCAGGAGAAGCTGCAGGGGCGAGGAGCATTTTGAGGCGCCTCAAAAGGCATGTGGAGGTCAAGCAGGAGAAGCTGCAGGGGCGAGGAGCATTTTGAGGCGCCTCAAAAGGCATGTGGAGGTCAAGCAGGAGAAGCTGCAGGGGCGAGGAGCATTTTGAGGCGCCTCAAAAGGCATGTGGAGGTCAAGCAGGAGAAGCTGCAGGGGCGAGGAGCATTTTGAGGATGGGCGAGGAGGGAGAAGATTCCATGTGAGAGGAGACAGCGTGCAGGGCGTGCTCTCCCGAGGCCAGCAGCAGCACGTGAGCCCCGTAGCCCTGCAGCGAGGCAGAGAGGCACTCACCCGTCAATGCCAGGAGGCATGTGGAGGTCCAGCAGCAACAACTGGATGGGCGAGGAGGGAGAAGATTCCATGTGAGAGGAGACAGCGTGCAGGGCGTGCTCTCCCGAGGCCAGCAGCAGCACGTCAGCCCCGTAGCCCTGCAGCGAGGCAGAGAGGCACTCACCCGTCAATGCCAGGAGGCATGTGGAGGTCCAGCAGCAACAACTGGATGGGCGAGGAGGGAGAAGATTCCATGTGAGAGGAGACAGCGTGCAGGGCGTGCTCTCCCGAGGCCAGCAGCAGCACGTCAGCCCCGTAGCCCTGCAGCGAGGCAGAGAGGCACTCACCCGTCAATGCCAGGAGGCATGTGGAGGTCCAGCAGCAACAACTGGATGGGCGAGGAGGGAGAAGATTCCATGTGAGAGGAGACAGCGTGCAGGGCGTGCTCTCCCGAGGCCAGCAGCAGCACGTGAGCCCCGTAGCCCTGCAGCGTTCGCCTTGCCACCATGCGGTTCACCGCGTTGTCATCCACCACTGCCACCCGCCGCCCCGCCACCGCCGCCTCCGCGCTGCCCAAGATCCCCCCAACGCCCCCCCTGCCACTCCCTCCCCTGCCGCTCCCTCCCAAGCTGCTCCCGATGCTGCCGATGCTGCCCCCTGCGGAGGGGAGAGTCAGCTGTGGCATTGTCTGCAGCTGCTGGCTTCCTGGGCTTATAGGATTTATTGGACTTAAAGGGTTTATTAGGCATAAAGGGGCTAATGGGCTGAACGGGGCTATTGGACTTAAAGGGGCTACTGGGTTCAAAGCGAGAGAGTGAGCGGAGGAGCTCCGAGGAAGCCCTCTGTATTGGCCTCTATGCTGCAGCCCTCTGGGCTGCCCCTCACGCCCCTCCCCTCGCCTACTACTGCTGCTCCCGGGTTCGGTTGGGGGAGGCGGGGCAGCGAGGGGCAGCGCCAGCAGGATGGTGGTGCCGATGGCGCTGTCTGACAGCACTGCCATGCTCCCCTGCATCTCCGCCACCTGGGGGAGGGCAGTGGAGGGGAGGGGTGAGGGGGGGTTGGTTGGGGGGCCTCAGTGCATAGAGTGGAAAAGCCAGCAGGATGGTGGTGCCGATGGTGGCATCTGACAGCACTGCCATGCTCCCCCGCATCTCCGCCACCTGGAGAAGGGGAGAGGGTGAGGAGCGGTGGTGGTGGGAAGGGAGATGGTTTCGGGGGGTTGGTGTGGATAAGAGGAGAGCCAGCAGGATGGTGGTGCCGATGGTGGCATCTGACAGCACTGCCATGCTCCCCCGCATCTCCGCCACCTGAGGTGGAGTGGAAAAGGGTGGGGAGGAGAGGAGAGAGGGCATGTGGTGTATCTATCGCCTCACAAATCAGGCATGACGAGCTTTTATCAAACCTCGACCTTCAATACTTTTCCACCTTCAGATCCCACTGTTCAACAGCATTGCATTCTTTGTAACGAGTGGACCCCTCATCTGAGGTAGCCCTCACATGGATCTGTACACATCCCAAATCACCCGATTGCCCGACTGTCTCTTCAAATCCCTGAACCCGTCCGCCAGCCTTCGCAAAATAGTCACTCTGTGCTCAACGTCATGACTTTAGTGTTGTAAATGCATATTCTATACAACGTACACAGGCTACAATTAGATGTGTAGCACTCTTATAATTTGGGGGGTTAATTAGCGTACCCTCCAACCACAGTTTGTGGTTGGAGGAAATTGATCCTTGCCTCAACCAATCCCAACCAACACACATTTTGTGGTTGCTTGGGCCACAAGCAAGCTCACCCATTGGCCGACTTAATGGCCAATATGGTAAGCTTCTCTCTCATCTCTCTCTTGCTCATTGCTTGTACCAAGAGCCCCTTGGCTCGTTATTCAATGTACCAATTCTCTCTTTTCTAATATAGAATGACTCTCCTTGTGTGCGCAAGATGGTAGCGCTCACTCTGTGCTCTATACCCGCAAGATGGTAGCGCAGCGCCCACTCTGTGCTCAACGTCATGTCATAACTTCTGAGGTGCCTCAAAAGTCGTCTCTATAACCGCAAGATGGTAATGTAGCGCTCACTCTTTGCTCAACCTTATGTCATGACTTTTGAGGCGCCTCAGAAGTCGCCTCTATAACCGCGAGATGGTAATGTAGCGCTCACTCTTTGCTCAACGTCATGTCATCAACGCGCAACCAGCCCTGTCGATTTGGATGCCATGACAATGTAGTTGAGAAATTGCAGCACTCACGAGGGAGGTGGATAGGAGGAAGCACTCACGAGGGAGGTGGAGAGGAGGAAGCGGACAGGGTAGGGCGTCCAGGCAGGGCGAGCAGCAGCCCTCTCATCGTGCGTGAGAGGGATGGCTCTGCTGCCCCTCCTTGGCTCCTGTGCGCACAGCAAATACGCACGCAACAAGCGAGGGAGAAAGACAAGGCATGAGGAGGGCGAGATAGGAATCCAGGCGAAGCAGGGATGGAGACGGAAAGGAAGGCTCTGGGGAAGGAGGAGAAAAAGGTGAAGAACGGTCATGGGAGGGAATGAAGCGGAAAGAGGTGGAAGGCAGGCGCACAAAAAGGGGAGAGCATGCCGTTGAAAAAGGTAGGTCAATGAGAAACCCCACAGCAGCACGCAAAATGTGAAGGTAGATTTTGATTGCGCACAATCATCCAACGTAGTCTCTTCCACACATGCACGCACACATGTACACATGCACTCATTTCCCGCTTCGCTCACCGCAACTCTTTGCTGCTTCTTGCTGCCACCACGCCCACCAACACCACAGCCACCACCACTAGCACCATCAGCACCACCGCCAACAGCAGCGGAGCAGGAGGAGTGGTGAGGGTCGCCCCCATACGGGTGGCCCCCATAGGGGTCGAGCACCCAGCACATCTCGTCGGGTGGAATACCACCGCCCGTATCCTCACAGGCCATCACCACCATCCACTCGCCCTCCCCTCTCGCCCTGCACACCGCCTCCACCCACAAAGCCACCTCCGTCTCTAACCGCCCTGTATTATCACCCTCCACCCGCCCATCTCCACCACTCTCCACCACTGCCTTTTGCCGCTCATCCACACATTTTGCCCCTGCACCTCTTCCCCATCCCCACCCTCCCAGCAAGCCCAGCCCTCCCAGCCACTCCAGCCCTCTCAGCCTTCCCAGCCCTCCCAGCAGCATCCCATCCTGACTCTCTGCTTTTTTGGAGAGACTTCCCAGGGGTGCTGTGAGGTGCTGAGGGGTGCACACCAGGCGAGTGTCTGGGGGAAAACGCCGCACACACGCTGCCAACTGCTGCCAGGCTGTTGAGGCCTCCAGGGCAGCAGGGGAGGGAGGTCGGGTCCTAGGTGATAGAGGAGTGCGAGGGGTTTGAGGGGTTTGAGGGGTTTGAGGGGTTTGAGGGGCTGGTGAGGCTGGTGGGGTGAGAGCAGTGAGAAGGGTGCGAGAGTTTTGAGGGGCTTGAGGGGTTTGGGATGGATTGAGGGCAGGGGGGGGTTGCCATGGGGTGGGAGAAGCAAGGAGGGATGAAAGCGGTGTGCTGGAGCCTTGTGAACGAGGGGTGGCAGGACGGGGGGTGGATGGTTGGGGGTGGACGGTTGAGGGGTGGTGGGACGAGAGGTGGTGGGACGAGAGGTGGTGGGACGAGAGGTGGTGGGACGAGGTGTGGTGGGAAGAGGTGTGGTGGGAAGAGGTGTGGTGGGAAGAGGTGTGGTGGGAAGAGGTGTGGTGGGAAGAGGTGTGGTGGGAAGAGGTGTGGTGGGAAGAGGTGTGGTGGGACGAGAAGAGGATGCGCGAGTGTCTTGCTGGAGAGGAGGAGCGGCACACCACACATGGAAGGTGACGTGGCCCTCTAGCGTGTTGCTCGCTACATGCGCTGCAAGGCAGGAGGACGGGGAGAGAAAGAAAGGATTCTTGAGCCAACTCATGAAAGGTGACGTTTCCAGCTAGAGTGTTGCTTGCTGCATGCGCTGCAAGACAGGAGGACGGGAGGAGGCAAGAGGGTACAGGGAGAGGCACTTGTAAACCTGTCAGCGAAAAAGAGACCAGTAAAGCCTGTCAGAAATACTTTGTTGCCATGTACGCTATTGGGCCAGCCTGGCCTACGTGTGCAACATGTGGCCTCACCTCACTTCCTGGCTTAGCAAGGTTGGCTAGTCTTGCCCTCAACTACTAGGTGTTGCAGTTACCTTCAAAAGTTCAGCCATACAGATACACTTCCTTTGAACTGATCACTGGACAAGAACATACGTCATGACCTCCATTCATATGCCACCTCCACTAACACGTGATCTCCACTAACACGTGATCTCCACTCACACGTGATCTCCACTCACACGTGATCTCCACTCACACGTGATCTCCACTCACACGTGATCTCCACTCACACGTGATCTCCACTCACACGTGATCTCCACTCACACGTGATCTCCACTCACACGTGATCTCCACTCACACGTGATCTCCACTCACACGTGATCTCCACTCACACGGGATCTCCACTCACACGTGATCTCCACTCACACGTGATCTCCACTCACACGTGATCTCCACTCACACGTGATCTCCACTCACCTGTCACCTCCACTCACATGTCACCTCCACTCACATGTCACCTCCACTCACATGTCACCTCGCCCACAACTTGAAGCACGCGGGTTGGATCGCCCATCAACACGTCCGGCACGCCTGGGTCCACGTGGCATGACACTGTATGCATCATACATCCCACCCATGACATAGATGGAGAATACACGGCCTGAAAAATACATAATGAATCAAAAGATCCATATTTAACAGGACAGGTATGTCAGAGTCATATTTGACACTTGTCAAAAGTGACTAAAACATCATGGATTTGGATATCCTAATCCAGGAGCACCTTTGAGCTACCTACAACCTCTTTATTGCAGATAACACATTTTAGCTCGAACAATCTCCAACAGACAAACCATACCTTCCCGTTCCCTGGTGCACACGTTTTGTGGCGAGCACGGCAGCTTGCTGAACAACGCGCGGCAGGCGGAGCGGCAGGGTTTCCAACTGCAGCCTGCCGGCCTACAGCTTGGCGAGGTCGAGCACGCGGTTGATGAGGTCCACCGTCTCCCGCGCACACTCCCTTACCACACCACACGACCACTCAAACCTTCTACCCCTTTGGCACAGAACAGCCCATAGCACACGAGCTTAGACCCACTGTCCGGTGCATGCGTCTTGTGCGGTAGGTAGAGTGGCAGAGCTTCCAGCTGCAGCCTGCCGGCCTGCAGCTTGGCGAGGTCGGCATGTTAACCGGAGTTGGCCCCGCCCTCGCTTGGGCGAAGCCAAATTTATGGTCGGATGCGCGGGAGATGCAGCCGACCGTCCGCGGTGGGCGCAGTCGACATGGGCGAGCAGATCGACAGAGTTGGTCGACCTGCACGGGACCACTGCAAAGCCGCCGACAACGGGGAACCGGCGGCTGACTTTGACTAGTGTGACCGAACGAAGGGGTAAGTTGGCCTACGGGTTATACGACTTCGTTAGATTGGCAGAGCTGACTTTGTGGTCGGCCAAAGTGGTTTGGTTAGCCGACTTTGGGGAAGAAATCGGCGTGGTTGACCGACTTTGATGGTTAGCCGACTTGGACGACGTCGGCTACAGCGGAATCGACTTTGGCGAAGCTGGCCAAGACATTGGTCGACGAGGTGAAGTCAGTGCCAACTAGGGGGCCCCGACGTGTGCATGTCGGTGGCCTCCTCTGGTCGTTGGTGTAACCTGGCCGACGAAGTTCTGCGCGGGTGCGCGAACGTTGTCCAAGTGGTTTTGGCGAAACCGACCTACATGGCAGCATCACGCGCGCACAAGGTCAACGTGGCACATCTGGCACAACTGTCGGCACGTGATAGACTTGACACCTGCACAATGTTCGTGACGGTGCACAACGTGTTCGACCCGTCCAGCTGCACGTGCGAAGCGGGTGCGCACATGCGCTAAGGTTACATGCGGTTGCAACACTGGCAAGCCGCCTTGCTGTAGCGTTGGCAAGTCGCTCTGCTGCAGCGCTGACAGGTCGCCGACTTGCAGTACTGGCAAGTCGCCATCAAGCTGCGCTGGCAGGCTGCCGCCGACTTGCTGCCCTGGTGGTCGACCTGCATGTCTGCTAGGTTGGAATGCTCCAGATTTAGTCATTGTTGCATACCATTCTTGCACCATTGTTCTCAACTTTTTCTAGTGAAACTCTTGTCAATTTACCTGAACAAACAAGTAGAGAGAACACGAACAAACGTTACGATCACTCATACCACCCGTGCTTTCCCATAGTTTAGCTTCCACCAGTGTAGAGTGACTCTCTGCAAAGCACGCGATTGAGGAGGTCCACCGTCTCCCGCGCACACTTCCTTTGCACACAACACGACCACTCAAACCTTCTAGCCCGTTGGCACAGAATAGCCAATACCTCACGAGCTTAGAACCACGGTGCAAGAAAAACAGCACGTACCTTCCAGCCCCCGGGTGCAGGCGTCTTGCGCGGCGAGCGCGACAGCTTGCTGAACGACGCGCGGTAGGCAGAGCGGCAGAGCCTCCAGCTGCAGCCTGCCGGCCTGCAGCTTGGCGAGGTCGAGCACGCGGTTGATGAGGTCCACCGTCTCCCGCGCACACTCCCTTTCAGCCCCTTTGCACACGAAAGCGCATAACTTTTCATGAACTCGGCCCCCTCTGCAGGAAAAACAGCGCGTACCTTGCAACCCCCTGGCACACGCGTCTTCAGCAGCCAGGGCAACAGCGTGCTGAGCAATGACCTCGAGGCAGAGCGGGAGAGCTTCGAGCTGCAGGCGGCCGGCCTGCAGAACAGCCTCATACCATTGTACTCAAACCCTCTCCAACAAGCATACCATTACCTTCCAGCCCCCTGGCGCACGCGTCTTGTCCGGCGAGCGCAACAGCTTGCTGAACGACGCGCGGTAGGCAGAGCGGCAGAGCCTCCAGCTGCAGCCTGCCGGCCTGCAGCTTGGCGAGGTCGAGCACGCGGTTGATGAGGTCCACCGTCTCCCGCGCACACTCCCCCGCGTCCCTCAGATCCGCCGCTTGCCAGTCTTCTAGGGGGGACTCTAGGAGCATCTCTATCATGCCTGGAGATTTAGAATTTATAAGAACAGAGGGCGGGAGGGAGCACACGCGGTTGATGAGGTTCACCGTCTCCCGCGCACACTCCCCCGCATCCCTTAGGTCCGCGGCCTGCCACTCCTCCAGTGGCGACTCCAACAGCATCTCTATCATCCCTGATCATCCTGAATTCAGAAAGAGACAGGGAGGTTAGCCACGATGTCACTCTCTCTCATCCCTGCGAGGGGAAGAGGATTTCAGAGAGAGGGGCAGAGAGGAGAGGTGCTTTCACTGCGTGGTAGCATGAAGAGAAGTGAAAGCATTGCCGCCACTTTGATTTCGCTTTATTGCCCACTTCGTTGTTCAGAGAGAGAGAGAGAGAGAGAGAGAGAGAGAGTGCAGCCACTGCGTGTATCCTTGGTGCATGTCTGTACTTGCTCGGATCTAATACACGGACCGCTTGAGAGAGTGCAGCCACTGCGTGGTAGCCTGGAGAAAACTGAAAGCATTGCCGCACGTGCACACCCTTTTGAAACACACGACCAGGGTCCAGGGGGACAAAGAAGCGGAGAACAAAGCGACGCCAATGGTGATGTCAAAGGGCAAACTCCCGTGCGCCTATCATGGTGACTTCTGAGTCGAACGGCAAACTCCCGTGCGCCTATCATGGTGACTTCTGAGTCGAACGGCAAAACTCCCGCGCGCCTATCATGGTGACTTCTGAGTCGAACGGCAAACTCCCGCGTGCCTATCATGGTGACTTCTGAGTCGAAGGGCATGCGGAGATAACTACTACAACGGGAGCTAGGCTGCGGGCTAGGCACGGGTGCTCGTGTGATCTCTGCGTTCTTCGGTCCTTAGTCGTTTTCCTAGTGCACACACTGCTTGCTAGTTCACAAGGCAATTTGGCAAGAGTTTTACTAGAGAAAGTTGACAACAATGATACAATGAAGTTGGCTAGGAAAGACTACATCAGAGCTAGGATGCAAGCAGGTCGACTGCCAGCGCAGCACGGTCGACCGCGTGCCAGCACGACTTGGTCGACCGCGCTCCAGCAGTGCAGAGACGCGGCTTGCCAACGCTGCAGGTCGACGGCGTGACAACAGCGCAAGTCGACGGCGTGCCAGCGTTGCTCCTGCAGTCCAGCATCGCACCCGCTTCGCAGGTGCTCGTAGATGATTGGCGTGCACTGCTTCGTCACCTGCACAACGCACACACCAAGTCCACCTCGTGCTGACGACTGCATCTGATGCACCACGTCGACCTCGGGATACCATCACCGAGGTCGTCCTCGCCAAAACCACCTGGGCGACCTTCGCAAGCCTTCGCAGCACCTCGTCACCCAGGTAACTTGGTCGACCGGGCAACCAGGTCGACCAGAGGCTCCAGTGCGTGCCCGTCGACCACCCAGGTCGACGACCACTTCCGGTCGACCTCCCAGGTCGACCACTGCCTCTGGTACGTGCCGGTCGACCTCCCAAGTCGACGGCCACCTCCAGTCGACCTCCCCAGGTCGACCACTATCCCCTGGTCGACCAGCTCCAAGTCGACGTCACTCCTGGTCGACCAGAACGGCTGGTCGACTTACCAGGTCGACCAGAAGGTCTGGTCGACTTCCCAGGTCGACCAGAAGGGCTGGTCGACGTCCCGGGTCGACCACCCGAAGTTGGCGCCCTCCCGAAGTCGGCGCCCATGCAATGGCTCCCGTGCAGGTCGACCAACCTCGTCGACCAGCCCGCCCACTGCTGCAGGTCGGCTGCACCCCTACATCCGACCACGAAGTCGGCTCCGCCCAAGCGAGGACGGGGCCAACACCCAACTCCCGTTGACACTCCCCTGCCGCGTTCACGCTTGGGCCTCCAGCCCCTACAACCGCACTGCTCGGAGAACAGCTCGTCGACGTGCACCCAACACACAGCACGTCGTCCACCGCACCAGCCATGCAAGAGGGCATGGCACCTACTGCTGCACTTCGTCAACTTCGTCGCCCACGTCGGCCAAGCGCACCTGGCCGATGGCGACAGAGCACCGGTTGAAAGCCGGATAGTGCAGCGCCTTCGTGAGGAAGTCGGCTGGCTGCTCAGCGGTCGGGATGTACTGCAGCGCAAACTTCCCCCGCTTCACCATGTGCTGCAGCCAGGCCTGTCGCCGCTCCATGTGCTTGAGGTTGCCCGTCAACCCCATGCCCTCGGCGACCGTGATGGCCGACTTGTTGTCCACCCGAAGGACGGTCGGCTTCCCAGCATCCAACTGCTGGAACTCTGCGAGGAGGAAGCGAAGGCGGCGTCCCTCCTTGCCGGCTTCGACGGCCGCCACGTACTCCGACTCGGTCGACGACAGTGTCGCGCACTTGATGCGCTGGCTCGACCAGGAGACCGCGGCCCCTCCGTAGACGAACACGTAGCCGCCCGTGCTCGTCCTGCTCTGCTTGTCACCGGCGTCGTCGGCGTCCACGTAGCCGACCAGCTCCAGCGACTCAGGTCCACCGCCAAACTCCAGGGCGGTGTCGCGCGTGTTGGCGAGGTAGGCGAGGCAGCGGTTGACCTCGCGCCAGTGCTGGTCGCTCCTCACCGTGAGGCCGCTCCCCAGCTTGCTGCAGGCGAAAGCGATGTCCGGCCTCGTCGTCGTCGCCGCGAACTGCAGCGAGCCGACCTTCTGCCGGTACTCCTCCTCCTGTCGCTCCTGCGCCTCCTCGTCGTCGAAGGTGAGCTCGGCGTAGGCGTCGACCGAGACCGGCATCTTCGGAGTCCGTCCGCCCTGCCCCTCGTCGATGAAGCGCCTACGCAGCTTGTCGGCATAGCCCTGCTGGTGCAGCCACAGCTTCCCCGCCGACCTGTCGCGCACGATCTCCAGCCCGAGGTACTTCTGCACCGGCGAGATCTCGCGCAGCTCGAAGGCGGCCTCTAGTAGCCCCTTCAGCTGCTTCAGCATCTCGGGGCTGCTGCTGGCGGCGAGCAGGTCGTCGACATAGACCAGCACCCAGCAAGTCGCTCCGTCGCCGACCTTGAAGTAGAGAGCCTCGTCGACCTGGCTCTTCTTCCACCCGGCGCCGACCAGCACATCGTTGAGCGCCAAGTACCATAGCAGCGGCGACTGCTTCAGCCCGTACAGGCTCTTCAGCAGCTTGCACACCCGGCCGGTTCCGTCGTTGAAGTAGTCCGGCTGCGACATGTACAGCACCCGGTCGAGCTTGCTCTGCAGGAAGGCGTTCTTCATGTCGAGCTGCATCAGGTTGAGGTTGAGCACGGCGACGATGCTGAGGAAGATCCTCAGCGTGACGTAGCTGCCCACCGGCGCGAACGTCTCGTCGTAGTCGGCGCCGTACACCTGCGTGAAGCCCTTCACGACCAGCCTCGCCTTCTCCCGCTCGACGGTGTCGTCGATGTTGTACTTCGTCGTCAGCACCCACCGGTTCTTCATGACATTCACTCCCGGCGGGCGTTCGACCAGCTCCCACGTGCCCATGGCGAGGAGACTACGGATCTCTTCCTCCATGGCGGCCTTCACCGCCGGACCCTTCCAGCTCGCTAGCGCCTCCTTCACCGTCATCGTCGAGATGTCCCAGCGGTGCTCGGGGTCGGCCAGCATGTCGGGGTCGAGCTCCGGGAAGTCCTCATCCTCCTCGGCGTCATCGTACAGGAGGTCGTCGTCGTCCTCCACGTCGTACACCGTGGTGAAGGCAGCGGGAATGAAGAAGTCGGGCGGCCTTCGAAGTCGACCAGACTTCCGGGGTTCAGGCGGAACCCTCACCGCGTCATGGTCGGTGGACTGGTCGGCGAACTCCTGGTCGACCAGCTCCTCGTCGCCCAACTGCTCCCCTTCATCTTCACTGCCGTCCTCGTCGCCCTGCTGCACCTCGGTCGGCTTCCCGGTCGACTGCTCCCCTGTGGTCAGCTCCCCTGTCGATCGCCAGGTCGCCGACTGTTCCTGGGTCGACCTCGTTGCTGCCTGCTCCCCTGTCGGCTTCACCCAAGTCGGCTGCACCTCCTCGACCGGCTCCCCCCTTATCCTGGTCAACTGCACTCCCAGGTCGACCTGCTGCTTGTCGACCTGCTGCTCGTCGACTTGCTGCTCGTCCTGTCGGCCACCGGCGATGCCCTTGGTCGGCGCCACAGGCGACGTCCCACTGCTCCCCTCATCGCCGGAGGCCGACGGCGGAGTCAGCCCACGCAGGTCGACGAGGGGAGGGGCAGGGGGGGTAGAGGAAGGGTGGACGACCTCGGCGTCGTCCTCAGCAAGCTCACCGACCTCAGCGAGCAGAGGGAGCGTTGCCGTCGAGGTATCCGTCGGCGTGGCCATCAGCGTCCGCCCTGACACGGGGCCATGCGCCGACCTCCACTCCTCCAGCGACAGGTCCTCGTAGAACACCACGTCCGACGTGGTGACCACCCGGTTGTCGGCGATGTCGAGGAGCTCCCAGCCCTTGCTCGCCTCCGACACGCCGAGATGAAGGCCCCACTTGGCCTTCGGCTTCAGCTTGCCACCCCGCTGCTGCTCGGGGACGAGGAACTGCGCCATGCAGCCCCACACGCGCGCCAGCGACAAGTCGGGCTTCGTCCCGGTCAGCAGCTGGTATGGCGTCGTCCCCGGCGTCGCCGACCGCTCGAGGCAGTTGCGGATCCAGACGGCCTGCCACAGAGCGAGGTGCCACCAGTGGTGCTGCACGCCCATGTGCAGCAGCATCGTCCTCACCGACTCCACCACCGTCCGCATCTCCCGCTCCGCCATGCCGTTCTGCTGCGGGGTGTACGGGCAGGTCAAGTCGTGGACGATCCCCTTTCCGTCCACGAAGTCGGTGAACGTCTTCCCGAGGAACTCCCCGCCTCGGTCCGAGCGCAGCATCAGCACCGACTTCTTCGTCTGCCGCTCCACCAGCACCAGCCACTTCTGGAACTCCAGCAGCACATCCGACTTCTTGGCGACCGGCCTCACCCACACGTAGCGGGACTGACGGTCCTTCAGCAGCAAGAAGTAGAGGCTGCCATCCTTGGCAGCCACCCGGAATGGCCCGCACAAGTCGATGTGGACGACGGCTAGCAGGTCGGCGGCGTCGGAGCCTTGGTCGGGGAAGGTGTGCCGCGCCAGCTTCCCGCCGACGCACGAGACACACGGTGGGTCGGCGCCCGTCGCCGACTTGAGGTCCAGCCCAATGGCGACCTCGTTCTTCGCTGAGC